CACATGACATTCGTTTATATTTTAAATGTCTGGTGACGCAGCGGGAACGTCCTCACGCTTGAGGCTGAAACCAGACGATTCTGGTTCTGCTACCAACTCAAATTTTCCTGTTAATATTTGAAAGCCGTACTTTTCACCTTTCTCATAAAATGAGCCTTTACAGGGTTAATGGGCCCTCTGTGGCCAGAATATCACACTTGCAACTTCAGAGTGTCGATCCAGTCCCTGTTGGACTCCATAGAGCTGACATTCCTGGCGCTGCAGTCTGCTTCCGGAACGTTTCCTGCATGTTTTAGATCATAAACACAGCTGATTTGTTTCATTTAGTGATGAACCACTCCTGCAGACACTAACGACAGCTGGGGAGATGTTCCAGCTCTCAGGTTCAGGTGTTTAAAAGACGAGCTCACAGCGAGGAGAGTTTCATTTTTGGTTTTACTAACTGGACACTAGGGGGTGCTAAAAGCAAGCCAAAGCTGCAAAGCCTCCCTTTAAAGAGCAAGTCACCCCCAAATAAACTTTTTTTTGCTGATAAACTAAATAAATGAGTGTCTAATCGTGCTGCAGACACGTGTCGTCAATAATTTGGCACTTCAGTGCATCTTAGTTAAAATTTAAATATTCTGCCTAAAACTGTCAGTGTTGTGCCGTTGTCAGGTAAAAACTCTGCACTGCATTTTAATTTAAATCTGCCATCGCTATTGGCTAAGAGGTATGCTATGATGTAAACTGGTACATTATGATGTCACAATGCTGTCGTGAGCCTGTGTGTGTGTGTATTTGTTAGCAGCTCCGCCCTCTCGGTCTGCCAGGCAACAGCATGTGTTGCATTTTTCAAACATGAAGTGGGAGTGGAGTTAGACTCTGGTAGGGGGTGACTTGCTCTTTAATGTGTTCTGGGATAATGGAGCTAACAGCTATTGCACAGTTTGAGGGTAAAAGGTATTTTTACAGCTTTGAGTACTATTGAAGTACTGTCTGCATCCAAGCAGCTTTAAAAAGTCACCAACTTTTTATTTATCTTTACCAAATCTCTGCTTTGAACCACTTTATCGTGTGATGCTTTCAGTGGCGTGTGTGTTTCCTGTAAATAATACAGAATGCAGTTATTAATTTTAAATCTAAAATCACTTTTATATGAGGTACTCGTGATAATGAGTCGCGGTGAGGCTTCATAAAGAGAGGAGAGGTTTTTTTACTTCAGCATAAAGTACTTGTGTGTATTTCTGATGTGCAGCTCTGGTGAGTTTTACTTTTAATCCAAACACAAATAAACCGTTTGTTTCATCCTGCATGTTTTTGTCTTCTCTGCAGCCAAAACTGGTTTATTTACCAACAACAGGCGTTCTGTAGTGTGTTCATCAGTCTGGAATTAGAAAAACGTGTCAGAAGGACAAATCTACATAGAAATGTAACAAGAGGAGGAAGATTTCATAAAATAATGTTTGTAGTTAAAATCCATAAAATCCACATCAGGTTTAATATTTCCACAGGTGAAATATACGCGTCATCACAGCTGCACCAGTCTGCTGTTTGTGGGTTTCTCTGTTTAACTCCTTTAGAGTCGCATCATCTTCACATAATCCCCGAAAGTTGCACCGCAGCTTTTTCTGCCTTTTCAGTAAAATAATCATATTTCATTTGTGATTGAAGTAAAAATGGCCTGTATTTGATATAGCGCCTTCTAGAGTCCTGGAACCCCCCAAGGCGCGTTACAACACAATCAGTCATTCACCCATTCACACACACATTCACACGCTGGTGGGGATGAGCTGCGATGTAGCCACAGCTGCCCTGGGGCGCGCTGACAGAGGCGAGGCTGCCGAGCACTGGCGCCACCGGTCCCTCCGACCACCACCAGCAGACAATGTGGGTTAAGTGTCTTGCCCAAGGACACAACGGCAGCGACAGACTGGGCGGGGCTCACACCTGCAACCTTCTGATTACCACCGTCGCCCCACATAAATATTTGAGCATGTGTTTAATACAGTCCAGCATGGTTTCCATGTCAGTTTCAGTGCCAGCAGTGATGCGTTCAGACGCACAACGTGTTTTAAACCTTCTGCTGTTGAATCACTTTAATGTTTTGTGAATCTTACAGAAAAAACTCAGATTTTAGCAAAACATCTGAATATAACGAGCAATCTTTCATCGGTGTTTCAGCAGCTTTAAACACACGATGTGTGTGACCCGTGCCCGCACTGGTGACGCGTCACGTTTCACTTTAAAGCCTTTTTCAGAACCGCGCCAGCCGGAAAGAACAGCAGATATAGGAATCACACTTTCAGTTCTGGAGCTCAAACGTGCAACAAGCATCAGCAGCACAGTCAGTCAGTCATGAGCGCCTGATCAAGCCCGCCTATGAATTTATGCTTGTTTTCCAAAAACGGCAGCTGCGACTGGAGGAGATCTACTGCTGTTACAGAAATGTTTTTGCACCCTGAGATGTCCACAGTCTTCAGACGCTTGCAGTGTTGCATCAGAAGGAACAAGGACCTGCAGGGTTCAAAGACGAGAACTTTTATTTATGTTCTGATCGGAGCTACCTGGTGCAGCTGGTGGCGCCGCCTACCTGTCAGTGACTTTGTTACAGCAGGACAGGTAGAGGTGCTGCAGCCGCTGGAGGTGGGGCACCGCCTGTGCCACCCCGCGGTCGCTGATGCCCGGGCAGTGGCTGAGGGCCAGGCTGGTAAGGCTGCGGCAGTGCCAGCCAACAGAGGCCAGGCTGGCATCGGTGATCTCTGGCAGCATGGAGAGAGACAGACGCTGGAGGTCTGGGTGACGCACCACCTGAAGAGAAGGGAGAACGTTCAGATAAAGCTACGAGGTGCTGGACTGGAAAGTTTGGTCATTTTTCATCAACTTGAGCAAAAAAGACTCTGGAAACTTTAGTTTTACAAAAGAAAACTGAAGCATGTGGATTTTGATGCTGAAAGCTTGTTGTTGTTGTTTCCCTGCTCCAGCACACCTGGTTGAATGACCTGTTCAGCAGGTCGTGAATCAGCTGCTGATTAAAATCAGCTGTTAAGAGCCGGGCTACGCTGACTAATGGCCGTCCAGGACCGCCCCCCGTAACCGTCCCGGCTCAGCCTCCTACCTGAGCGACGCTGCTGTCGGTGAGTTTGGTGCAGGCAGACAGGTCCAGCTCCTGCAGCCTTCTGAGAGCCAAGAGCGACGTTCCGGCTTGTTGGGACTGCTGCAGGTCGTGCTGTGTCACCAGTTTGGGTTGCTCCTCAAAAGGCATTCGTGGAGGCTTGAAGAAGCCCATGTTCCCGAACGTCCGAGTGAACCTGGGACCCTTGTCTCCCTGTGGGGGTGGGGGGTGGGGGTGGGGGTATTAGTCATGTCTTTGTTTATGTGCGTGAAGCTGTGGTTCTCACCGCCTCATCGCCAGGCTCACACCGGGCGTTCTGCATCATCCCAAGCAGACCCCAGTCGCTGATTTCTTTACACCAGCCGAGTCGTAGGACTACCAGCTTCTGCAGGTAGGTGGCGATAGCACACACGGACAGGTCAGTCACGTTGACACACGATGTCAGATCCAACTCGCGGAGAAAATCCCCAAGAAGCTGAGCGAGCGAGAAAACTGAAAGATCCTAGAAGAGGGACAGAGGCGGGTGATTTTCCTGTTAATCACACACACTCAGAACGGAGACGCCGACTGACCCTGATGTAGGTGCAGCTCTTCAGGTTGAGGCTCTCCAGCTTTGCTCGGGCAGAACCGGGCCTCTTTAAGCCTTTCACCATCTCTGATCCACTGATGTGTGGACACTCTGACAGATCCAGGGACCTGAGGGACGGTACCAACAGCAGCTCGGCGAGGCCTGTGCACACGTTAGAGGGAACGGGGCAACGATGAGCACAGAGAGTAGCTTTGTGCTTTATTTCTAAACAGGTTCGTAACCTTTCTCCGTGATCCTCCAATCACGAGACAAAGAGAAGCGCCTCAGAGAGTTCAGGCCCCGCGCCACAGCCTCCACCGACCTGCTGGTCAGCCCGGTGCAGCCGCTGATGTCCAGTTTCAGGAGGCTCGGCTGGTGCTTCACAAGGATCTCCACTGAGTAGTCGGTTAGCTCTTTGCAGCCCTGAAGGCACAGTTCCTCCAACACCAAACCCTGAACCTGAAAAAGTCACGCCGTTTAAATCTGAGCCTGCGTAAAGCAGCTGAGGCGAGCTGGTGATTCTGAATCTGACCTGCGTGATGGTGCGCAGTGACTCCGGAGTGATGGAGGTCCTGCTGATGTCCAGCGCTACCAGAGTGGATTTCTGCTCAGTTAGCAGCTTCTTCAGGTTTCTAAGGGACAGGAGCGCAGAGGAATCCTCCGCGGCGCCAACCGGGCAGCCTCGATACGGGTCAAACTCGAAAGCGATGTGGCAGCCAGCGAGTGACAGCCGGCGGAGGTGCGGGGTGCACCCTGTGAGCCGGCTGAAGGTGAGGTCGGAGAGGTATCGAAGGTCTGACAGATCAAGCTCCTCCAGACCGATCAAAGCGGACCGGACCTGCAACACAAACATGGACTTTTAATACAAGCTGGAAAACAATAAAATGTTAAGGGTTCACGTTGATTTATTTTATTTATTTAACAGATGTCATCATCCCCCAGTCACACCCACAACCTCACCTGCACTCGGTGATCCTCCCTGGACAGAAACGCTCCCGACATGAAGAGACTGTCCAGGCCTCTGAGGTCCAACCTCCGAAGAGAGGTGAGGCGAGGGAGGAGAGCCAGCAGGGAGGCCTCTGTTATGCTGCTACCAGGCAGCGCCAGGCTCTCCACCCTGGAGCCCAGATGCTCCCCCACCTGAGGGAGCAAGGGACACCAAACACACTTTATCCAGCTCTTTCCGGGTTCTCAACTTGATAATAAGCATTTTCCTTCATTCCACCTCTGCAACTTCCTGTTCAAAGGGCACACGTGATTGTAATGAATTGCAGACTGGACAATGGTGCCCCTGTCTGTAGTGTTTGCATTGCTGCAGCCTTTTATTGTTTTACTTCACATCACACCGGTTCCAGTTAATGTCCAAACCCAACATGTCTGTGCTCCGGCCTGCAAGCAGACGGTCAAACCGTTTTCTTTGGTGAAGTTATTCTTCCAGGTTTTGTGGGTGTGCAGACAAAAAACAGCTGACTTTACCAGATGTGTGTGTGTGTGAACGTTAACGGCACACTGCACCTCCAGAAGGAGTGACCTGGACACACTGAAGCCATCGAGCTGGCTGATCTTCAGGCTGAGGCGGGACTTTCTGGACAGACCTCGGATCAGCTCCAGGGAAGCGCCTGAACCTGGAAAACTGAAGGTCACATTCTTCTGCACAAAGACAGAGACGTGAAGACGATGTAAAGGCAGCATTATTTAGAGAAAGCCAACATATCGGTGTCCTAGAGTAGATTGCCTGAAAGCGCAGGTCCTGGCTGGCGTCAAACCAGCGACGGCAGACCAGCGAGGCTTCCCTCCTGTCTGCAGCCTCAAGAAAACTCAGGATGTAGACTAAAACCTACAGGCAACGACAAAGATACAGCGCCATAATGTCATGTTTATATTAATTTGACCATTTTATAATATCCAGTTTATGTATTTTTTAATATTCTCATCTCACCCTCCTCAGGTGGTCTCATCCTTCCAGGCTCGGGTCCTCTGAGGGGCCTGAGAGGTTCTGCAGTATCTAAGCTGAGGTGTCTGATGTTTCTCCTGGGATCTTCCTCTGCTTCGTTCTCAACCACCTTAGGAGGGTTTCCCACTTTGACCTTGGGGCTTCCCGTCCGTACTCTACACAGATGTTCCTGCACACGATGCCTGCCACCTGGTAGCGGCGTTCCATGTGAGCTTTCCCTGCCAGCATCTCCCACCTGCAGCTGCGTGGTGGACCGTCTCAGGAGCACCTTGGGTCTGGCACGGTGTAACTGTTGGGTTTTAACCTACAGACACGTTACTCTTTGGGTGAGACGCTTCTCCTGCCTCTGAAGAAGGGACACGTGGCTGATGGTTTTCACCAACAGTGAGTGAAACCGTGAAGGACTGTAGTGTGCAGCTCTGTGGAGTCCTCTGGTGTAGCGATGAAAACAGCCTGTTTACCATCTGACCCCCAGACTGGAGGAGTGGCTGAAGCAGATCTCAGGAGAAACATCTGATTCCAGAAAAGCGCAGCTCTGGGAACAGCTGAGATGCTGCAGAAGCCTCCAGCTCCCAGGCCTCTGTAGAGGACCCGAGCCTGGCAGGATGAGAGCACCCGCGGAGGGTGAGATGGGGATTTATTCACATGCTGCTATTTTCACTATTTAATAGAAGAAAGATGAACTCGCCTCCAGAGGCAGCTCGGGGGGTTCTCTACAGTCTTCTCCATCGCTGTCATCCATCTCAAAGAAGTCAGAAACTATGAATCCCAATCCATCTCGAGATGATGTCCTAGTTAAATCCCGTGGCTTCGATGCTAATCGCTACCAACAACAAACCTCCGCTCTCATCTCGTCTTCGTTATTAAAATAAACCATTTCTGGCCTCTGGACGCGACTGAAGAGCTGTTATCTTCTAATAACCGCCGCTTTTCACCCTGAAGACTCACTTCCGCTAGCAGGCTGACCTCCGATGGATCAGCTGACCGCTGAGATGTCAGGGGCGGGGCGTGAGAGGCGCTCTTCTCTGATTGGTTGTTGTGACAAGTGACGCTCGTGGGAAGAACGTCCCTGCTTTAACCCACAGAGAAGCAAAGTGACTTTGATCTGTTTCCTGAAGCCTTTTAAATCAACCTCCATTCGTTTATTTATTGAACTCATAAGTTTGATTAAACTGGGTTTTGCTCAGTTGTTCGTCTCTTTGAGTTTATGAACCTTTTTGTGACTGAATGACTCAAAAGTCTTCATTAAAGGGACATTACGGAGTTTTGAATTTTTATGCTCGCGATCGCCCCCTCAGGCCAAAACTGTAACGGCAGCTTCAATAGTAGGCTAGTGCACGAGGCGCGCATGCTGTACGTGCACACTCCTTAACGAAAATAACAGCTGAGACAGTCCTGTGTGTGTGTGTGTGTGTGTGTGTGTGTGTGTGTGTGTGTGTGTGTGTGTGTGTGTGTGTGTGTGTGTGTGTGTGTGTGTGTGTGTGTGTGTGTGTGTGTGTGTGTGTGTGTGTGTGTGTGTGTGTGTGTGTGTGTGTGGCCCGGAGGACAGAGGACAGGAGAACGTGCAGCTAATTAATTAAATAAATTGGTTCTGTACCTTTCTCTTCAGCACAGCCGACAAAGGTTTATGATGGGTCAGTCCTCCTGCATGCTCAGATCATTCCCTTCCCTTGCTTGAAAAATTGTTCCAAAATGAAAGTTGAACCCACATCTTTTTTATCTGTGAATTCAATGCCGTTCGGCGAGTCTCAAATAAAAATTTGGACATCTTACTGTAAAAAAATATACCATTAATGTAAAAAATAAACTCTAAATAAACTATGTTCACATCCAGAATCAAACCCAGGTCTTCTGCATGAGAGTCAGACGTCCTACTAGGTGGGCTACACTCTAGTAACATTCACAGTATCTGTAACATTTATATCCTTGATGACAGCTGAAACAACGTTCAAAGAACGGTTGGGAGTGAAAATGGCTATTTTGTTGCTAATTAGCAGGAAATATCTAGAAGAAAGTTCTACAGAAAGTAGCTAAGGGTCCTCAGAAATGTAGCTAGCTTTGTCACTAGGCGTTAGGAACAGCGACAAAGTGGCACTGCCTCTCTCTCTGCTGCTAAAGCTACGGATAGCAAATGTTACGGGCGATGCCTGAGCGTGAACGCGCATGAAGCAGCCTGCTCGACCCGAGCATCTCTCTTTTTCTGTGATTTTACAGAAAAACAGGCAATCACAGTAAAAATGCCAGGGCTCATTCTACAGGACCAGGGCATTGCAGGAGAACGTATGAAGAAGACATTTATTATTTCTATACATGTTTTGGCCGTCACACTTCCATAATGTCCCTTTAAGTAACAAAACTTAAAGCCCTCTGCAGGTGAATTTTACAAGAAACCCCTCTTTCTTATTCATTTAAATAAAATAGAAGACATACCACTCATAATACACATCTTTAAAAAGTAGGATAAATTTAGAATAATGAATGCAATTAATATTAATACTATAATAAATACAGCATGAGATGATTGTTATTGTTTTTATTATTAGTTTGAAGAATGAGTTACAATCCTCTGGGATTACTGAAGTATTTTTGATTTTGAACCAATTGAAGTAAAATCTGGCATTTTGTTGTGTTTATTACAAACAACACAACATATTTGGCCTTTAATGCACTCAAAACTGGACATTGTGTTTTTTTTTATTTAATCAGAGCACAAGATGAAAATAAACCTGACAATGCAACCGTGATCTATTTAGGCATTTTCCCTAAATAATATCTGAACCGATTGATTTAAAATCTAAAATAATCCCACTCATCACAACAGTGCCCAATATTCTCTGCAGCACGTTTCTCCCTGCATGGCTCATGGCCTGACCTGTAGTTTTGTTGGGTTTTGCTTTACCGTTATTGTGGTCTCCATGCACGATAAAACCTTTTTATGAAAGCCTTGGTGTGACACTGAAAGATTAACAGCATATTGAGCAAAAGTCTGTTTAAACCTCGAACCACTTTGTTCCTAATTTAGAATACACCTGTGAGAAAGCATCTTTCCTCTCCAGTCTGATGTGTTTCCTGTGGTTTGTTGTTTGTGTCTGAGAGATGCTAAGCTGTTTTGCTTGCTTTTAACACCCCCCAGTGTCCATTATTAATTAACTGAGGTCAAAGCAAAGGTGAAACGTATCTCCTGTGCGTTTGTCTTTTTAAAGTGACAGTGTGTATTTTCCTGGCAATAGGGGCAGTACCTAAATTGTTGCAATCAAGCAGTATTTTTGTGTTGGAGTAAAAACTTACCAACGGATGTCCATTAGGGTCAAAAAGCCCTGGGGAGTGCAAACTTTAGCTAATTACAAACACATCAGCCTCCCTTTCATCACTGATGACAAGTGAAGAGGTAAAAGTGTAAAACAACAACGTGATGAAAGTTTTGTAACCAGTTTTTACAAATTAGTAAATGCATTTTGTCCTCATGGGCTCCCGTAGAAGGAAACATGGCATCTAATATGGCTTCACCCAGAGAACTGGATCCGCTCCCATGTATTTTATCCCTGATTTTTAAGATGATAGGTTGCAAAGCCTCCAATATTTTTCAACAACTAGACATGATTTAATTTTATTTCAACAACATTTTGATGGATACTTCCAGAAATTCATGGTAAAAACTACACATTGTTAGCCTAGTGAACTAGACCAAATTCTTGCGTTGCAAAGTATGCACATATATAGTCTGGCTTGTCAGGCTAACACATTGTCTCTTTAACACCGTAATCTAACAGCTGAAATGTCTCCTCAGCCTTCATTAGTGTCTACTGGAGTGATTCATCACTAAATGAAAGAAATCAGCTTGGTTCAGGATCTAAAACATGCAGAAAATGTGCTGGAAGCAGACTGCAGCTCCACCATGTCAACTCCACTCCAAGGCTCCCTCCACCAGCAGGGAGCCGCCCTGCAACTCTGAAGTTGCAAATGTGGTATTCTGGCAACAGAGGGCAGTGGGGTCTGAGTGACATTTCATTAACCCCGCAAAGCAGGATTTTTCAATTCTGGGCCTCCAGGGCCGGTATTCAGCACACTTTAGTGGTTTCTCTACACCAACACACTTCATTCAGTGGTTGAATCACCTGTGCAGCAGCTCATCAGGCTCTGCAGAAGCCTGTTAATCACCTGAAATGAAGCAGGGTTAAAACCAACGTGCTCAAGGCCCGGTATTGAATAGCCCTGCTGTAAAGGGTTGTTTTACTGGCTCAACAAATAGATTTTAATATATGAAAAATCTTCCAGCTCCTAAAACAAGATCAACAACATTTACAAAATTACCATTTTGCTCCAAAAGCCTCAGTAATCCTGAATGTTTATTTCTTTCTGTGGGATGCTGGCAGTCCGAATGATGCAACGTTTAAGTTTGGGACATCTGCAGCATTATATGCATTTACATATGTAGAAAAAGGAAAACATCAGCGATCAAACACCACACAGTCATCTAAAGGGCGACTTTAAAATGTAGCATTTGTGCTTTTACATGTCGCCAGAGGCTTTACATTAGAGGTAAAACTGTTTTTAATCTAAAATGTTATAAAATGTCGATATACATTTGTACAAATAAACCATGAAACTAAATCATTAACAAACATAGATATGTCGTTACACGACTTGTTGCACTAGGATTAAAAATGGCTAAAAAGTTTTGAAACAATATTCAGACTAAAGGTTTTAACGCGTGGGTTTTCATGCAGGGGTTAGGTGGTGGTCGCCATTTGTGGACTTACAAAGATCAAAGCAAAACAGTGGAAATGAAAGTAAAAAATTGTCTTAAACTCACCTGCCAACATTCATTAAAGAGCAAGTCCCCCCCAAATCTACTTTTTTTCTGATAAACAATATAAACGTGTGTCTAATCGTGCTGCAGACACGTGTCGTCAATAGTTTTGCACTTTAGTGAATTTTAGTTAAACTTTTAATGTTCTGCCTAAAACTGTCAGTGTTGTGCCGTTGTCAGGTAAAAACTCTGCACTGCATTTGAATTTAAATCTGCCATCGCTATTGGCTAAGAAGTATGCTATGATGTAAACTGGTACATTATGATGTCACAATGCTGTTGTGAGCCTGAGTGTGTGTGTATTTGTTAGTGGCTCCGCCCTCTCGGTCTGCTAGGCAACAGTATTTGTTGCATTTTTCAAACAGGAAGTGGGAGCGGAGTTAGACTCTGGTAGGGGGTGACTTGCTCTTTAAATCTGCCATCGCTATTGGCTAAGAGGTACCCTAGGACGTTAGCTGGTACCATATGATGTCACAATGTCGTTGTGAGCCTGTGTGTGTGTATTTGTTAGTGGCTCCGCCCTCTCGGTCTGCTAGGCAACAGCATTTGTTGCATTTTTCAAACAGGAAGTGGGAGTGGAGTAAGACTCTGGTAGGGGGTGACTTGCTCTTTAGCTACAGACTAAGATATAACAGAACGTACAAGATTATTGTTAAACTCCATTTTTAAAATCAACAATCTTTAAGGCAAAATATTGTTTTAGAATAACAAAATCATCTGTAAACATGTAAACAACAACAACAAAATCATTTTGAATGATGCAGGAAGACAAGACCTTTAAAGAATGGCTGATGGGCAGTACTTTACACCTCCCGCTTTCTTACAACGCCTCCTCTGATTAGTTGATCATTTCCATCTCTTAGGTCCACTGTCCCAGGATCAACAGCCAGACCCGCTTCTTTTCTCAAACCTTCACCTTCTCGTTTCACCTTCATCCCACTCGCTTTCACTGACGTCCTCCTTCTCGATTGTGACACGGTGAAAGCGTGCAGGCGGAGGTCTTTCGGAGTTGCGGTGAGATGTGGAGCTGGCTGATGACAATGTGTCCATTTCTTTGTCAGGGTTGGAGCTGGCTCCTGGAGATGAGGGGCGACCCGACAAGGACACAGATGTCTGGAAGAAAAACGAGGAAATAAGTTGTTTTCTGAATGCGATCATCTGTAAGAGTCCGAGGAGCCTTCAGGCTCATCTGCAGCTGATAAGGAATTTGCAGGCCAGAGTTTTGAGACAACAAACTGAGTAAGTCGACAAGATTAAAGCTCACAAGCAGAAACGTCCACAGATACATCATGCAAAGAGTTCAGGGTTTGGTTGAATAGTTCATGTGTGATCTGACCTTATGGGCCATTCCCATCTGTACCGGGTCGGCCCGGGCCGGGTAGCCCCAGTCGGCCCCAGCCTGGCCCGGTTGATTCCACACATCCTTGTCTTAAGCCCATGTGGGCTGATTCTACCCACCAATCAGAGGCTTGCTCTAATGGAAGGTGTGAATTTGCTGTCAGCAGTGGGTGTGTTGGCCCTGGTCGGCCTGAAGCAGACCCCCTCGAGAAGAGGGCTGAGAATGAGCCTTGGTTGGCCCGGAAAAATACCAGGCCACCCAGATATGTAAACAACCTACGCTACCCGGCCCGGGCCGACCCGGTACAGATGGGAATGGCCCAGTGAAGCCTGTCAGACTGGAGAGAAACGGTGAATGCTTACACAACGAGGACATAAGGCACCAGTTCAGTTGCACGGGCACAAACATGGATTTACCTGCAGTGAGATGCTCGACTTGTTGGTTCTCTCCTTGACTTTGGCCAGAACTCCTCTGAGTCCGGTTGATCTCTCGGTCATTTCGAGAGCCGCTCTGAGCAGTTTGGGAGTCTCTGGCTTGAGAGGTGCTGCTGGAGCCCGAGGAGCCTCTTTGGCCTCTTCTTTGGGTTCGGCCTTCTTTCCCTTGTTTAACATTTTCCTGCCGTTTAGAAAGGATCAACCATATCATCAACACCAAATGTGGAGACAATCTAAGTGCACTAATAAAGGACCTGAAGAGCAGAATGTGTGATGGTTCGTTTTTCATGTTTCAGTGTGTCCCACCTGGCCTTCTTGCGGAGGACTTTCATAGACTCGGGGTAGTGGACCAAGATCTCATTCAGGTCTTTTTTGTCCAGGATGAACAGATTTGCAAATCCATGAGCGATCACATTGGCCGTGCGTCGGTTTACCCCGCCCACCGCGAGCAAACTGAGGATCAAAACAGACGTTTGTCTCTGGCATGGTAAGTTAACGAGTCACAACCACACAAACACTTAATGGAAAATAATCTGCATTTTCACAGCTGTTCTCTAGGTCAGAGGAGCACAAAGAGCTGTGCATCATTCAATCATTCACACACCGATGGTGGCCAGCTACAAGCCGCCGGTCCCTCCAACCACCAGCAGCAGCAGAGGCAGGGGACGTTTGTCCAAAACGTGTACGTAGGTTCAAACCCGACAGCACCCAAGGTGTAGGCCATGCAAAGAGGCCCTTGAGACAATCCTCCACATAACTGCAGGGTGTAGGACGCCGGCAGGGAACGCAAACGGAGCGGCCGCACTGAGGCAGCTCAAAAGCAAAAATGAGTTTCAGCCGGAGGCCGTGAGGAGGACTGGAGTTCATCTGAGTGGAGGTGTCTTCATCTCAACTCCACTTTAGTCGTACGTCCCCAAAGGACAGTTGGCTTCGGCGAGGCTACGATACGGAGGTTCAAATCCAGCAGTTAGACGTGTTTTTATTCAAAATCTAGAAAAACATGAAACGAGAATCAAAGGCCAAAGTTACTGAAGAACGCCGATAAAAATGTCCACTAGGACTTGTACGCTAGAGCGCCAGAGGAAGATATAAGGAGAGCAGAGAGCCGAATGCTCAGAGTGAGTCTTGGAAAAAGCTTGAAATTTTCTGCAGGAGTCCAAAACTTCTAATTCAGAATATTCCGGTTTTAGAGTCCGAGTCTGGCAGCTCAGTCTGCGAGGCACTGGGGTGGCGTGTGGAAGATTCAGGGTTCAATCCGAGCTCTAATGAATAGTTTAATAACAGCTAGAGGGACAGTACGGCTCCGTCTGTACGGCGTTGAGTTGGAGTTCAGTGTTCAGGACCAGGAGGATGTGTTCTTTGAGGGAATTATTCCGACTGAAGGCTCTGAACGTGTGTTGTTGCTGTCTGCTTGTGTGGTTCAGTGTACAGAAGCTTAAAAACAACTCAGTAGTGTCTACCTGCGTCGCTCAGCCTGCTAGACGTGTTACCTTTAGTCTGGAGGATGTGGGTTCAAATCCCTGTTAAAACTAATCCACATTTTAAGTCCAAAAACTAAAGTAGACGAGTTGGAAAGGGCCACCAGAACACGTACTGGTAGGATCGTTCATGTTCGTAAGTCGCCAGCGGTGCAGCTACTGGTTCATATCCCACTCGTGACTGTGTGATTACTCTGAAAGGGGTCGGGGAGGGGGCATGACTCCCTCCCCGAGTTTCTGAGAGGTCAACAGCTGTCCTCTGTCCACCACCATAATGTCCGCTTGGTTCACCATCACCGTTTCCTCAGTCTGGATCAGGAAGTCCCTCAGGAGCTTGGCTCTCTTGTTCTCAACCACCTTAGGGGTGTTTCCCACTTTGACCTTGGGGCTTCCCGTCCGTGCTCTGCACAGATGTTCCTGCACACGGGAACCTGGTTGTGGCGTTCCATGTGAGCTTTCCCTGCCAGCATCTCCCACCCTGCAGCCACGTGGTGGACCGTCTCAGGAGCACCTTTGCACAGCCTACACCTTCTTGGCCTGTATTTATTTATTATTTAACTCTATAACCTGATGATGTGAAACAAGTTTGAAACTTAAAAGGATGCTTTCTAAAGTCCCATTTAGTCGGCACACACACACAGGTGTGTGGTGAAATTTAATCTCCACATTTGACCCATCCCCTGGGGGAGCAGTGAGCTGCAGACACAGCCGCGCTCGGGAACTATTTGGTGGTTTAAGCCCCCAATCCAACCCCTTAATGCTGAGTGTCAAGCAGGGAGGCATTGGGTCCCATTTTTTCAAAGTCTTTGGTATGACCCGACCAGGAATCGAACCCCTGATCTCCCGATCTCAGGGCGGACACTCTACCACTAGGCCACTGAGTCGGTATCCGTTCACCTTATCTCCCCAAAGACGGATCCTGCTCTGAGAGTGGCGAACACTGTCCTATCATCAGGTCCTCCAACCACCTGCACCTCTCCTGCTTTTATGATGTACATCTCCCGACCGACCTCATCCTGCGAAAAACAAAAGTTAAAGACTGACGATGAAGTTGAAAAGCAAACAAACAGGACATGTAGGTACAAAGATTGACCTGAGAGCTGCAACAAGGATGCGTCAACAACCGAGCTCTTGCACAAGCACAGCATACCTTTTTGCAGACATAATCACCAGGCAGGTAGACGACAGAATGCAGACTTTTCAGCATGTCGAAAATCATCTGTCGGTCACAACCCTGTCAGGAAAGTCCACAAAATCGTTTCTCAGTCTGCTTTTTATTCTTGCTTTGTTGCTTCGTGTTCAGCAGCCATTAATCGGGTTATCACCTGAAACAGGGGGACTTTGCTCACGATGGAGTAGTTGACATCTACAGCGATGTCCAGACGCATTTTATCAGGCAGCTGGGTCAGAAGTTCCTGCTCATCTGGTTTAAAGGTAAAATAAACTGAGATGTCACGCCTGTTCAATACAAACACGGGAAAACAATCACCTAACCTCACCCAGCATGCCTTGAGACTGCCAGGTGTAGTTGTACCAGGTTTTGACTCTGTACTGGACGTCCCTTGGGATGCGGTAGGACGTCATGTATCTGATGGTGTTGTCCATACAGGTGCGGTAGTAGGTCTGGCCCGCCGTGGCGGCACCAACAACGTCACGCATCTGAGGAGCAAATGATTGTTTCAGATGATTCACAGGAACTGATTCTATGATTTAAATGTGAAGTTAGACGTTTACATCTACCTGTCCAATCATGATAGAGAAGGCAAAAACTCCAACAAAGTAGTTGATGAGCTGGAAGATGATCTCAGACAGGGTGGTGGGGTGAGGCAGGCCTCCGATGGTGATCAGCGTTTTCACCGCAAAGTAGTAACATCGAATGTAACTGAGGAGAGGAGCAGAGGAGGTGAACGACAGCTTGAAACTTCTTTTAAACACTTTGATTTCTGTTTTTGGTCGAGGCGCCGACCTGTTCCCTTCACCGTTGTAGACCCACTGGGTAGATCCCAGTCCGATGTAGGCAGAGGTCCAGTGGTAGAGGCAGGCGTTGCAGTGAAGACAGTAGAGAAGATAAGAGGTGGTACGGATCACCCTGAATAATAAAAATGGTGTTTGAATGGTACTTTTAAAGTTTTTAAACTTTAAACTAGAGCTTTAACCTCGATCTCAGAGATTGTTGAGTTACAAAAGTGACCAGTTTCATAGTTGACAGCACTCTGCGTCTCTCAGCTGAACAAAATCAGCACTTCATATTTCTGGGTAGGCCTTCTAGGGGGCGCTGCTTAACGGCTGCTAGCCACTTTCCTTGCCGGTAGCTAATAAAAGGCTAGCAGTTAGTTAGCTTGTCAATACAAAACACAAGAAGATGGCGGAGCCTGGAAGTAAATGTAACAGAGTGACGTCTTCGGATGCGATGCAAAAAGCTAAACCAGACTGAACATCGGGTAGTTTGACGAAGCTAAAGGAGGCTATGACATCATGGACTGGTGGTGGCCTGGCTTTGTTGCTACTAGACTTGTAAGTAATAATAGTTTTTGATTGGTGGCGTTTTTAGTAACACTTGGCTCATGCTAGTGTTAGCTCGTTGCTAGTGCTAGCTACAGCAGGCTGCTGCAAGGTATGGCAGCTGTAATTCCACTTTCAACCAGCAGGGCAGTGATGCTGGAAACTGTTTAATATTGCTTGAATAATATTTAAAGAGCAAGTCACCCCCAAATCAACTTTTTTCCTGATAAACTATATAAACGAGTGTCTAATCGTGCTGCAGACACGTGTAGTCAATAGTTTTGCACTTTAGTGCATTTTAGTTCAAATTAGAATTTTCTGCCTAAAACTGTCAGTGTTGCGCCGTTGTCAGGTAAAAACTCTGCACTGCATTTGAATTTAAATCTGCCGTCGCTATTGGCTAAGAGGTACCCTAGAACGTTAGCTGGTACCATATGATGTCACAATGTCGTGTGTGTGTATTTGTTAGTGGCTCCGCCCTCTCGGTCTGCTAGGCAACAGAATTTGTTGCATTTTTCAAACAGGAAGTGGGAGTGGAGTAATGCTCTGGTAGGGGGCGACTTGCTCCTTAAGTAAGAGCTGACCTGTAAATGTAGGCTTTGGTCAAGATGGCTTCCAGACGCTCATTGAACTCAAAGAAGGAGTTAATCTGCAAAAGTGTGAAAATGTTTTTTTTAGTTCAGTAAAAGGTCAAAAACATTTAAGACTAAAACAGAATCTGACACGTTTACTTTTAAACTGTTACACGAGTGGATTACAGTCAAAGATGTTAACCCTGAGATCTTCTCAGTAGGATGAAAGCATTAATCATTTTTAAACTCATTTGGAACAATAGAGGTTTATGACACAATAATGTAAAATTACATGTACATAAGATGACAATGATATCATTTTTATTTAACCCTCCCACTGTCCTAATGGGTGACCCCGCTTGGGTCCACGAGGCGGGGGTGAGGTGGTGCTCACACCTCACCCCCGCCTCGTGGACCCAAGGGATAAACCATCCTGCTCAGTGGTCACCTTTCCTCGCGGGGTCACCTTTCCTCGCGGGGTCACCTTTCCTCGCGGGGTCACCCAGTAGGACAGTGGGAGGGTTAAACAGTGACTTTTTATAAGATTTTTTAGTTTAGCATTTTTTGGTTTTTAGTTAAGTTTCATGCATGCTTTGTTAAGATATGGGGACTGAAATGTGCTTTAACACGTGGCTGACCTGCCAGTTGAATGACTGATGGGTTGTCGGAGCGGATTAAATGCAGATTAGCAGATTAACCTCACCTTTAACAGTCTCGGTAAACGAAGCAGAGGGTTGATCCCAGTTTTGAAGTAAAACAGCTCCAAAGGAACAAGGCTGGCTACATCAAACTGAAAATGGATCCAAAAATCAGTGTACGGAGAGCAAAATAGACACTTAATAATCTCTATAAATATTCACCTTGAAGCGGTTGGTTTTCATGTAATTATTTCTCATTAGTTTTTTGTCACACTGATGGGAATAAAAAAAACATTTATTGATTCAGGTGAGTTGTTTCCTTCACGCATTTCTTGATGTTTCCATATGACTTTCCCTCACCACTATGTCTCCCCCTTGGACAAACTGCAGGCGTGGCTGGAAGACGGAGATGTCCAGGATGTAAATGAGGTCACACAGGTAGTCGATCAGAAGCCAGTAGTAAAGATTATCTGGGGTTTGGTAGGGGAAGGCCCAGCGAACTGGGATGAACCAGACGTTCCAGTTCCAGGCCAGAGACACCAGGAACATCCACAGCACGTACATCAGGTCTGAGCAGGACAAAGATGGATAGGAGGATGAGAGGGGAGAGGAAGTTGGGTGATTTAGGGGTTTAATCATCGTTCTAGAGAGTCTGAGTGAGCAATCATCAACTGAAATACACGATAAGCAGGAGACTGAGGATGTAAGCTGCAACGATGCTGCAGTGGTGCTTAAAGTCTGGCTCACTGAATCCTTCCGTCAGAGGTGGAAACGAGTAAATGAAAGGTGTTTAACAGGTTAACAGTAACACCACAATCACAGCTACACGGCCACTTCGCTCAAACCTAAAATAAATCAGACAGCAGGAGAAAATCCAACAAACGTCTGGCGCTTATGACTCATGTTTGCCTAAAGAGGTCTCAGAATAAAACAAGCCAAGGTGACGGCGGGTATCGGGTCAGGCTCTCACTGGTGAACGGGTCGATGCTGGCAGGGATGCGGAGGTGCATACAGGCTCGTACCCATCCTGGAGTTTTCACCTTACAGCAGCATCCTGACATGTCCTCCTCTGCACCGCTCCCTGCTCCTGCTCCTTCACCTCCTGTTTTCAGGCCCTTCTCTTCTCCAGCCAGCTGCGCAGATTCAGGAGGAGCTGAGGAGGAGACATCAATCACAAAGGATAGATTTTAAAAACTCACACAACATAATCACTGGCAAATATGCATTTTTTTCTGATTTTTCACCAGTGAGTGAAAATTATTTTAATTAAAATACTTGAAATCATAAACAGAAGCATGAAGGCACGCTTTGTGAAGGCCGTTGTGCTGTTTAAGAGACTCTCCACTCACAGGGAGCGATGCTCTCTTCATCCGAGCTGTCCGGGTCGATCAGCTTCTCCTTGGCCTTCTCCGTCCTCTCTTTGAACATCCGGACCAGCTCCTGAAGCCGCTCGTTGACCACTGCACTGGTCTGACTGGCCGAGGAGGGTGGACGCTCTCTGGAACTTGGATATAAAATCAGAATCCTGTCAGATTAGACGGACGTGCACCTGACGCGTCCCACGTGGTGTTTTTGTTTTGTGAGGAGCTCACGCTTCATCTGAGCTGTGCAGGCTGGACTGACTGGGCCAGGCTGTGGCGGGGATGCTCACATCTTCATCATCATCATCTTCACTCTGAGACTGAAGCTGCTTACTATTGAGTAAACACAGCCGGTGAATTTAGTCGCTGTTGCACAAATTTAATCAAATCTTGTGTGATTTAAAGAATTTCATATCAGGTGCTTTTTGTAAATTTGTTAGATGGAGACGAAAAATGTTCCCGTATCAATGACTTTTGTCTGAGAGCAAACAAAACAACAACAAAACAACAACACAAAGATAAATTCAGAGTAATGCTTATGGAAGTGAGGGCTGGAGGTCTTACATCTTTGCCCAGACGGTCCTACGGTTCCTCCCGAGACTGCTGGAAAAGGTCAGACCGGTCCAAAAGGGAGAACATTCATTATTCCAAGAAATGCCCAACAAAGTGGGATCAATCAACCACAGCACTCCCAAACACAGGCGACACCGCGGTGATGCATTTGTTTATTGACTTTTGCTGCATACAGTCAGAGGAAGCACAGGAACACGAGCAGCGGCTTCACAACACAAACGGGAAACACTGAATGCATTTTCTAATAACTCTGATTGCTTACAGGTTTTTGCAGTTTGCTTAGTTTGAATGATAACTCACTTGCAAACAGAAAAGCACATTCATTGTTTCTGCAGCAAACAAAAATGGAAACCAACAGAGGATTAACGACAGACCGGACAGCACAATGGTGGACAGCAGGGGGCAGTGCAGTGAGCGTCAAACCACAGAGTGAAGCATTTTAATCCCAAATTCATCAGATTAGACCAAAAATATCGATGAAACTGGAATTACGTTATACTTCATCTAAACCCGATTTTATAAGAACAGGTTTTTAGAGAAACTTGTGTTTGTTTTTTAATCAAAATGCTTCACTTGCTAGAAACATTTCTACTTTTAATTTCTGTTATGAACTTTAATGTTGTGGAATTGTGATACGTTGATCATATCCACACACACACGCACGCATGCATGCATACACACGCACACACACATGCACACACACACACGCACACACACACACGCACAAACGCACGCACACGCACGCACGCACACACACGCACACGCACGGACGCATGCATACACACGCACACACACATGCACACACACACACGCACACGCACAAACGCACGCACACGCATGCACGCACACACACGCACACGCACGCACGCACGCACGCATGCATACACACGCACACACACATGCACACACACACACGCACGCACGCATGCATACACACGCACACACACATGCACACACACACACACACACACGCACGCACGCACGCACGCATGCATACACATGCACACACACATGCACACACACACACACGCACGCACGCACGCACGCATGCATACACACGCACACACACATGCACACACACACACGCACACACACACACGCACACACACACACACGCACACGCACGCACGCACACACACGCACACGCACGCACGCATGCATACACACGCACACACACATGCACACACACACACGCACACGCACACACGCACGCACACACACGCACGCACGTACACACACACACGCACACACACGCACACACACACACATGCTCACACACACACACACACACGCACACACACACACGCACACACACACACACACACACACACACACACACACACACACACACACACACACACACACACACACACACACACACACACACACACACACACACACACACACACACACACACACACACACACACACACACACACACACACACTTCTCTTACTCTTTATCTCCTTTACTGTAAAGTGAAGCATGCAGGAAAAAAGAAACAACAGATAAAATGTTTTGATCTTTTCGTTTGACGGTCGCGTCTTTAGGAGAAGCTCTGAAAGCCTCCGGCTTTAGTGGTCTGATTAGCTTAGCCGGCTCTCGTCCATCTACAGATCGTTATTAGTGGTTATTGATTCAAGAGACTCAACATCTGAGATTAAAAATACATTTAAAATAACTTCACACTAAAGCAAAAACAAAAGAAATCAGAAAACATAAAGAACGCGTTTTGTTTTTCTGTTTGAACTCAGATGTTCCTCACCTCTGGCGACCTCCCGATGGGGTCACAGGGACCGTGAGGGTTGTGAGTTTGGGGTCCTGAGGGATGAGAACGTGGGAAGTGTCCCTCTTTTGCTCGCTTCCTCCCGCTTTCTCATCATCAAAATCCTCAACGTTTACAGCTGGGCGACGGCTCTCTGGGGGAGCGACAACAAGCGTTTGTTTTTATTTATTACGAGACAAATCATAACAACTCAGGCTGAGTTAGAACTGAGGAAAGTCGTCTTGCAAAGGCAAACGGGAGCGATCCGGGGAAGAAATCAGGTCACAAGCAGAAGCAGGACAGGAGACAGACTTGGCAGGAACTGTGTTGAGCCATCTGACATGTAGGCCACGCATGAGAGCGCCCTGATCGTTAACCGACTTACCTGTCTCACCCACCTGTCTCATGACCCACTCACACGTTTCATCTGGTCAGCTCAGCTGTCAGTGACCCGAACCCAACACAACTTTTCACACTCGCTATCAAAACTGTGGAAAACTGAAGAGCTAACGAAGTTTTAACAATCAGATGATGACCTCATGCAGTCCTGGTCCGAGCGGGCCGCTGTCCAGCATGTTTTAGCTCCAACACACCTAACTTAATGCTTCATTCACCTGTTAACAAGTAATCAGGCTCTGCAGAAGCTTGTTAATCATCTGCTGATTAAAATCAGGCGTGTTGGAACAGGAAAACAACTAAAACATGCTGGATAGTAGCACCCGACCAGGACTGCCTACACTTGCTTTATATAATCACTCATGTAAAAACGTTGGGAATGACTCTGGAATGCAACACAAATGATAAATCACACTTCTACGAAACACACGCATCTGTTTTCAGAAACGTTGTTTTTATTTACTTCCTGTTTACGTTTAGCGTTGTTTTTAGGCTTTCCTTGTTTGGTGTACGTTTGTGAGTCAGGGCTGCTGCACACTTACCTACTCATCTTTAAAACCTTCACAAATGACTGGACTCAACAACTGAACTATTTTATAAAATCAGAAAATGAGACAAACATAAAAAACATGCTAAACTCCACACACACACGGCACAACATGCACTGGGTCAAGCCGACACCTGAACAACATCTGAACATCAGTCACGGTTTTCTGGAGGCTTTGAATCAACTCAGATTTTGTGTAAGACGAGACAAAATCCACTGATTGTGATTGAGTTCAGGTGTGTTCAAGGACCATTGCAGTGCACGAACACGGATTCACCTGCAGGCTTGGAGTTGTCCTCGATGAAGAACGCTGGGTAAGAAGAGGGGCTTGACAGCTGCCGGGGAAGGGGGCTCAGATGCTTCAAGGGGGGGCTGACGATGGGCGGCAGGCGTGAATAGGATGGGACGTTGGGTAAATCTAGGAGACTACCAGTGGGTGAGGTGGGAGAAGGGGAGCGGGACCGCAGGTGAGCATAGTGAGGGGGAGGGAGGGGCGAGTGTTGCACAAGTTGACTGAGTTCTACATCCTGCTGGTCTTGCTTCTGCTTTTGATGTTGTTGTTTCTTAGGCATCTTGGGGCATGAGGCTGTTGAGGCGGTCACGGACATTCAAGAAGTACTGCTGAGTTCTGCTTGGGAACTGGGAAAGCTTCTGTGGAATACTGGAAAAGCTCTGAGACAGACTGGACAGACTGGGGCCCCCTGAGCCCTCTGAACCTTTAGGCAACAGCTCAGTCAGAGTTTGGGCGACGTTCCTCGGGACTCGGGTGAGTCTGATCTGGGAGAACTCCTGGCGTAACTCCGGGGGAAAGGAAGGCAGGTGTTTGGTTATGTCTGAGAGCTGGCTGGGTAGCTTGGGCATGGAGGGTATTTTGGGGGTGGAGATGCCATTTTCTTTGAAGAAGGCGTTGATGTTGCCAAAGCACTCAGAGGTAGGAGGGAAGCGCATCAGGCAGTTCTTAAAGGAATCGCAGCTGACTGGAGCTACAGAGGAGACAGGTGGTTGGGCAGGTGTATAAAACACAAGCAAAGTGACATCAAACAGCAACACAGTCCATCAAATTCAAACTTAAAGCTGGGGTCCGTAGCGTGACGTCATCAAGAAGAGGAGATTCCCCCTCCCCTTCAGAAACGAGCTGAAAGCCACGCCTCATACCGCGCACAAATAACCCTGCAGAGCCGATGGAGGGCTGCTGAGACTGCATGTTGGACCTGAATGATCTCCTCAGCCCTCCTGGGATTCTGCAGGAGCTGCTAATCACGCGTTATCAAAACTGCAGTGCAAACGGAAACGTCTAAAAGCGGCAGGAACCCAGCACTCACGATGCTAGCACACCCCTGCTAACGCTAAATCAGTGTTGTGATGTAGCGTAAAGTAAAAGCTTCACCGATCCTTCCAGATAAATCCATTTTCATTCATTTCATCACAGAGTGACATCGATTCAATGCAGGTCAAGTTAGCATTCAAGCTAGGTTGGTGTGCTAAGCTAACTGAGGAACATGGATGGACTGGCGCTGCCTAATGGAGCTAGCATAGCAGCAGGCGGCCATCTTGGATGGGTTCTCATTCCCACCCAGTGCATTTTTTTCTACTGAAGAAGATGCTTACCCAACTAAAAACACATTTGTTGTGCTTTTTCACAAAATTAGACATAATAAAATATGAATATAATTAAACAAAACACATTTAAATACAAAATCCCAGCAGCTAGAAAAGTCAATAGTAATCCCACGTGATCTGTTGTCATTGGTACGCTGGTTTTTGCCACCTACAATAAATGGGTATAGTTGCCCACCCTGCATGAAGAAAATATAAACTATGAAGGACTACCTACTTATCAGGGTCAGATAGTCTAATTTTTGAAGTTACTTCAAATTAAATAAAAAGTGAAAACTATGCACCCCAGCTTTAACAGGAGGACAAATAACAATCAGCTGATGCCTAACATGATGGTACGATTCTGACTGAAATAGATGGAATTATTAAAAATGAACTGGCCTGGCAAGCCAGCCTATAAATGTTAATTAAATTCTCTCAAACACCTAAAAGCAGCCCAACACTCATCAGGTGTGGGATCTCACCACCACCAAATAAAGTATCAGAAGTGCTTTACGTACCACCACAGCCGTCATCATTAGCCTCTTCTTCCTACAGATCACAAAGGACACAAAAGTTGTGGTTAATTTTTCTTGAAATTTACTGAGAATTTCAAAAAATAATTGAAAGAGGAGCAAATATTTAGTAGACATCCTCTCATGTCTAATTTAATGTGAGATAATTAGGCTCTAAAGTGGAAAATAAACAGACAACAAAAGCTTATGTCTAACGTAAAATACTTTTTCAGCCGCCTTGTCAGTGTCTGAGGCTTGAGCGTCCGCTGCTTTCTGGGGCTGCTGGGTCACAGGTTGAACTTCTGGGTTTGTTTCTGGTGCAGGTTCTGATTCTGGCTCGGGGGCCTCTTCAAGCCTCGGAGGAGGAGAGGAAGAGTTCTCCTTCGGCGCTTCTTCCTGCTTTGACTCTGGAACCATTTTAAGTGTAGATTTTGTGTTATTTAAATAAAAAATATGAATAATTTAGTTGTTGTCAATGGAAACTAATAGAAGAACGTGACACGGACGTGTGTTGTCTACCTGGTTCTCCAGACTCCTCTTTCTGCTCGTCCTGAAGAACAGTGTCGTCCTCTCTGCAGGAGAAACCAGGATTTTCAGTGCGAGGTCAGTCAAATGTTCTCTTCTACTCAGGCGGTGTTGGCAGTTTACACCAAACACAGTCCAGTAAAACACCAGGGTGTGGAGTAGAAATGAAAAACAGGAAGTACAACTATGCTGAAAACAAATAAAAAGTAGAAATCCTGTAGAACAGAACCAGATCTGGGGTTAACAGAATTCCACGTATTAACGCGACGTTACCACCGACTACTTACGGTCTCCAGCTCACGCGATACTTGGTAAAAATCCTGATTCAAAGTG